TTGCTACTTGTTCTTTATGTGTATGAGAAAGCAGTTCAGATCACATACTGCATTCCCATTCTGTCACGTGCAGGCTACAGCTGGTGTGTTTTCCCTTGCCCCTTTCTCATATCCAACCCTTGGCATATCCTCTGTCCTTTCCAGCATCCTCCTAGTGGAAACAGCAGAATTTCACTTTGGGAGGATTCATTTTACCTTTTCCATGGAAGTTACACACCTTAAAGCACTACTCCTATAGGCTGCCAATGTAGTCATGGCAGAGGTGGACCCCACCTCTGGTGATTCACCTCCAAAAACCTGTGCCTGGCTGAGTGGTGGGAACCATGGGCTGGAGGTGCTTCTTCTTCTATTCTTGCATGTGTTCTTTTACTCTCAGTTGTAACAGCTTCATTTCTTCCTTATCAGCCTTTTGAAGGAGGTGATTTTTTTTTAACCCCCTATATTTGAAGACCATTTTTTCGACAGGTACAAATATTTAAATAAAATGGTAAGAATATTTAAATAATTTTACATTTGAATGTCAGTAGTGCTTCTAACAGCTATAGTTGTTTACAAATGATGATAATCTCTTTCTGATGTTCATTGTATTGCAAAGTTGCACAAACATTTGGCACACAGTTTCTGAAACAGCCTGGTGACAATAGAATTGTGCTGGGGTGAACATAGCCAAGTAGGCTTACATGGGAGTAGCATCAGAACAAAATTCAACTCCAACTTTATTTACCTGAGGTTTTCTGGGAGGTTCTACTGAATCCATTTTAAAAGAAATATAGTTGCATAATTCTCTTCTTTTCATGGCATTTTAATGCAATATTCTGGATAAATGATGATACTGCTAGTGGAATACAAAAAGTAAATTACAGCTGAGAACATAATTTAGCTGATTAATTTATCCTCTTTGCCTCACAGAGTGTCCATAACCACAGAGTGGTTTCTTCAGATGGTCTTGCTATTTGTGCTAGATGACTTTTTAAAGTTAACTTCCACCTTCATAGTCTGTGAATGACTTTACAATTGACTTAACTGTGTCAAGTATTACAACAAATTGAATGTTGCAGCTTATATCACAGTGAAAGAGGCTGTGCTAATATTACCTTACATTTTTTCCAGGCTTAATTAAGTGTGCTAAAGCAGTTATTACTGCCCAGCTGACAGGCAACAACTTAAGCCATGCTAACTGGATTTCAGTCCAAATCCCTAATTGTGATTGATCAAGTAAATTATACATGCATTTAAATGTTTTTCTCTGCTCAGTGAGTCAGAAAATGTAGACAGTACTCCTAGGTGGTGCGTTAGACAAGTATTTGCCCTATGATGAGTGGAGAAATTCAAACACGTAGAAAATCAGTGAAATGTTGATCCTGAGCTGAAGGTTGTTATGGTTTGTTATCCACAGCATTTTAGAAGTACTTAGGTGTCAAAACCTGCACGTGTGTAGCTTGGATTATTGGTAGAAGCTCTTAAGTGTCGGGAAATTAGCAGAAATAACAGCCCAGGTGTTTGTCTGCATCATTAGGAGACAAAATCTGCTTCCTGGGCATGGCTGAGTGTCAAATTAAGATTCTTTAGAGGGAATTTACTCGCAGCTGAATTTCCTGAGTTTGGAACCCTAAAATGGAAATCTACCAAGATCATCAGATTCCTTGGGGAAAAAAAGCCTTTGAGCTCTGGAAATACTTTTTAGAGTTACTAGCATTTGCCCTTTCAGGTTCACATCAGAGTTACAACCCTTGTGCCTTCACTGTGAGCAGGACTAGGCCCTTTAATTAATTTCCTTCAGCTTAGAGGAAACCATGCTAAAATGTGAACTTCATCTTGAGAGGTTTATGGAGTGTAATTGTGCAGGAAGGAGGAGGTGAGGCTAAGACAACATAGCCATGAAGGAAACTGGTAGAAAATCTGTAGGCAAGTGCTCTGTTTGAGTATTTTAAGTAGCAGAGCACAATAGTTGTAAACCAGTTCAACTTCCTTTCTCTTGGGCCTGGATAATCGCAGATTAATGCTAACAAAAGATGAAACTGCCCCAATTTGGAGTTGCCAGTAGCCAAGGTGATACCATGCTCAAAAATTCAAGATGTCAGGAAAAAAGTTCTGAAACTTTTGGTGTAAGACCTCACAGAGAATGGGGACTTTGTGTAAATACTACGCAAAACATAACTGAGAAAGAGGAACTTTGCTGACAAATAAATGTGGGGATCCATGTGGTCACTAAACATCTCTTAGTGGTTTGTTCCAGAAGAGGTTGGAAACCACAGCACTCTGGGATGTGTTACACATCTGTGGCATAGCTGTCTCAAAGGGACTGTATCTGCAAACTGTCTCCATGACTCCCCTTTTGAGAGCTTTAGGGATTTCACAGCATGCTAAAAGCCCAGAAATTTGCAGCTCCCCTTCCAAGCCAGACAATAGGCCTGTGGCCTCGCCAACAATGGGTGACTGCAGAAACACTGGCTAGATCCCATCTCCAAATTGGACTGGGAAGAGTTAGATCCTGTCATTCTGTTTTTTATTCTAAAGTTGGTGTCCTTTTCACACAGCTTTTCTTATGACTGGCTTTTATTTAGCCCTGAAGCTTAACATTTGGAACTTCTGTTTGCTGGGTTTTTCTCCGTTATCTTGGAAAATAATGTTCATTCTTCCAGTTACTATATTTCTTCTGTGCCTTGTTACATTTTCTGTTCTATATGAGTTCTTAGCCAGTAGCTCCTTGAAACAGCTGAAGCAATTAAAGCAAACAAATAACTAACATCTGGTGTATGTTTATCTGCTCTCTTGTACTCTCTCCAGGGCAAGAATTGTGTGATTTGGAATGGTTTCCAGTTTATTATGTTATCTCTATTTGAAGAAGATCAAAGAGGTTAATGTTGAACTTCAAGTTGAGATTTGCAAAGTTTGTGGTAGTTCTGTGTTCTTAGGATGTTCATGACACAGGTCTTGGCACTCCAGGAAAATAAAATTTCCAGTTGAGCACAGGTTTACCTTTGAGGAAAAGAAGCTTCCTGAGTGAGTGAAGGGTTTCCTTGAGTAGAGAGCACGTTGTGCTGAGACAGAAGTTGTCGTCTGTGGTCATTGCCCTGTGGCTTGAGTCACTTGTTGAAGTGACACAAATTGTTCTGATAGTAACTGGCAGAACAATGTCCTGGTCCATGGCTCAGGAGTCAGGGTCTCTGCAAGTCAAACTAGACATTCTTCAGATGATCAAGCTCCTCTTGACACAGTTACTGTGAAGCTTTCCTGTACGTTCTTTCTGTAGTCTAAAAATCACTTAATAGTAGCAACACATTAAGCAGGTTCTGGACCATGGTCTTATTAAGCAAGATCTACTTTCTCTCCATATCTTGTACAAATGACTACAGTACCCTCAAAACAAAGCAGTGAAATATTGCCCACTGAATTTATTATACAGAGCAATTTCTTGGAGGCACCATTATTAATACAATCTGCATCATCAATATGATTTTATATTGCTGTCTCAACTGTAAGTCAGTCTAGTGTTTTGTTTTTTGCTGAAGAATTTGCTGAGCACTAAGTTCTTGCCTTACGTATTTCTGAGTAAAACTTGCTTTGTATTTGTCGTTATTTGTCATGATCAGAAGTGCCCCCAGACAGGAAGGTAATGGCTTTAAGCTGAAGGAAGGTAGATTTAGATGGGATGTTAGGAAGGAGTTCTTTACTGTGAGGTTGGTGAGACACTGGCACAGGTTGCCCAGAGAAGCTGTGGATGTTTCATCCTACTTCATCCAGAATTGTTCAAGGTTGGGTTGGATGGAACTCTGAGCAGCCTGGTCTAGTGGAAGGTGTCCCTGGCCCTGTCAGAGAGGGTGGGTCTTTTAGGTGTCTTCTGACCCTCACCATTCTATTGGTCTGTGACTCCATGATCTTGCCTGGTTTTTATAGTGCTCACTTACTCTGACAGGGTTCTTGTGTTAATGAGTTGCTAGAAGTAGAGATTTTATTGACTAAAATGAATCAATAACTAGAGGTTTCTTGGGTCTGAATATACTTTGACTTCCAGTCACCCCAGTCCAGATTTATGGCTTTTTTTTTTATTATTTATAGTGCTATAAAACAGAGCTTGGCTTTAGATCATGAGTGAAGTGTGGTGATGTTTATCAGATGAGTCTTGCTGCCCTTCTTCTGTGAGGAGAGATCAATGGTCTTATTTGACCTCTTAATGAGTCCTAAAAACTGAAGCCTTGGGAAATGGCTGGAGCAAATGTATTTTACAACCACTCTATTAGCTAGCAAATACCTGCCTTCAAACTAAAACTAAAGGTACCAAATAATTTCTATGTTGTCGCGATTTAATCTCAAGTGGCAGCTCAACCCCGTGCTCACCCACCCCCTGTGGGATGGGGCAGGGAACCAGAGAGGTAAAATGAGAAAACTTGTGGGTTGAGATAAAAAGCATTTAATAGGTAAAGCAAAAGTGAAGCAAACCAAGGAATTCATTGAGCCCTTCCCATGGGCAGGCAGGTGTCCAGCCATCCCCAGGAAGGCAGGGCTCCATCCCATTTAATGGTGATTTGGGGAGACAAACACCATCAGTCTGAGTGTTACCTCTCTTTCCCTCTTCTTCCTCCAGCTCTGTATGCTGAGCATGACACCATAACGTGTCATCTCTTAGGACAGGAGAATTTTGATACCATCTTGTCACATTTAAAATTAATTGATTTCCATACTAAATTGAAATAAATTAGTGTACATCAATTAATGTTTAAGTGTCAGAGATCAAAAACATTTGGTCTCCCCATGATATGAAGTTACATATAATCTGATGGCAAGTGTAAGAACTGCCAGTTTTGGCTTTACAATGGCTTCTCCTTGGAAGAAAAGCAAGAAAACAGTTCTGTAAAAGTTAACTTACTCACTAGTAACTATAACTGCCTTTTGAATTCAGTTTCAACTGAATTTATAGTAAAATGAAGCATTTAAATGCCCTTCTGTCCATCTGCAGGTGTTCACAGTTGTTGAGGAAGAATTATGTGGAAGTTCCATCTCTGAAAGCTCCGTTTCCAGAGATGACATTTCCAGTTTCTCAGCATTGCTGTAGTGGTTGTGGCTATGCTGTGGCAGAATAGGAATAACTTCTGGAACTGACCAAGGTTGTAAAAGGGTTGTGACACTTCAGGTGAGCAGGGAGGCAGATAGAAAAATACCTGAGGGAATGCAGGTACTACATTCCCAATATGTACTACACCATTCTGAAGTCAGGAATTAAAAATCTTCAAAAGAAGTTGTGATATGTTTTCAAGAGCACGGACTGCTGATGTGTGGATTACCCTAGAAGTAAATTAATTGTCAGCAAAAGTAATTCCAGTCCACATTCAAGCAAATAACATTGGAACTAGTGGATTATAAATTGCACTATCATATAAATTAATGCAACTTAGCTGAAACTGTAATTGAGAAAAACCCGCTCAAAAGTTTTATTCTAAATGTTTTGATTGATTGGCAAGTTTTCTCTTTAATGATTTTTTTGCATCATTGAAGTACGTGGATTTCATGACTATTAATTTCAGTGTGGTAGTAAAACAGAGACTGGTTTGCAGATGAATTTGGCAGTCTTCCTTCACCCTGGTAAAAAGGAGACCTAAACCAGAACCTACTGCTTTCAAATTTGCTAAAGCTGTAAACCAAACTAATTTAAAACTACACCTGTGAAATGCTGAATAAGGGTATTCATAATTTTATTTCTTATTTTGTTTGTTTTGTTACAGCATTTCACAGTAACCAGAGATGGAGAAAAGAATGTGTCACAAGAGCAAAACTGAATTAAATGCTCTAACAATATCTTATGTTCTTTTCAGGTTCTATGTAATCTCATTGGGCAACAGCGTGGAACTCGTCTGTCCAAAATGGTTTATGGTGAATTTTTCCGCAGACCTGGCAAAGATGCAGAACTTATCAATTTGAACGTGGGTGGCTTTAAGCAATCAGTGGATCAAAGCACCTTGCTCCGATTTCCCCATACCAGACTTGGAAAACTTCTCAAATGCCATTCAGAAGAGGCTATTCTAGAACTGTGTGATGATTATAGTGTGGCAGACAAGGAATATTACTTTGACAGGAATCCTTCCTTGTTCCGATATGTTCTGAACTTTTACTATACAGGCAAACTTCACGTTATGGAAGAACTTTGTGTCTTTTCCTTCTGCCAGGAAATAGAGTACTGGGGAATAAATGAGCTGTTTATTGATTCCTGCTGCAGCAATCGGTACCAAGAACGGAAGGAGGAAGGTCCTGAAAAAGACTGGGATCAGAAGAGCAACGACAGTATGGACTCCTCCAATGAAGAGTCATCCATATTTGACAAAGAGCTAGAAAAGTTTGATCATCTGTGTTTTGGTGAAATAAGAAAGAAGATCTGGGTCAGGATGGAAAATCCTGCATATTGCTTGTCTGCCAAGTTAATTGCCGTGTCATCCCTGAGTGTTGTTCTGGCATCAATTGTGGCCATGTGCATTCATAGCATGCCAGAATTTCAAAGGCTGGATGCCAATGACAGGGAGATTGGAGACCCTGTGCTGGAAGCTGTGGAGATTACATGCATCATCTGGTTTACTGCTGAGCTAGTGATCAGGCTCTTCACTGCTCCAAGTCAAAAGAAATTCTGGAAGAAACCACTGAACATCATTGATTTTGTCTCTATTATCCCATTTTATGCCACACTGGCTGTGGACACGAAGGAAGAAGAAAGTGAAGATATTGAGAACATGGGGAAAGTGGTTCAGATCCTGCGGTTAATGAGGATATTTCGCATCCTGAAACTGGCCAGGCACTCCGTAGGACTGCGGTCTTTGGGCGCCACTTTGAGACACAGCTACCAAGAAGTTGGACTTCTGCTTTTGTTTCTGTCAGTTGGGATTTCTATTTTTTCAGTGCTTGTCTACTCAGTGGAGAAAGATGATGACTCATCAGAACTGCAGAGCATCCCTATTTGCTGGTGGTGGGCAACCATCAGCATGACCACTGTTGGTTATGGGGACACTTACCCGGTCACACTTGCTGGAAAGCTGCTCGGCACCCTCTGCATTATCTGTGGGATTCTGGTGGTAGCACTTCCCATCACCATTATTTTCAATAAGTTTTCTAAGTACTACCAAAAGCAAAAAGCTATTGATAGAGACCAGTGCAGCAATGATCGCAAAGAGAAAAGCAATGACCTACCCTATTTTAACATTAGGGATATATATGCAAAAAAGATGCACTCCTTCATTTCTAGCCTTTCTTCAGTAGGAATTGTAGTCAGCGACCAAGAGTCAACAGATGCCTCCAGTATCCAAGATATGGAGGATGTTTATAACACAGTATCTTTAGAGAATGGTACAGGAAAATGAGTTGAATCATGTTTGCTTCTCTTTATTTCTCTGCTGATTCTTGGTAAATGTGGACTGACAAACTTCAGTGAATTCATGAAGAGCAGTTGATTCTCAGGGTACTTAACTCTCAGCCATATTTGGACATTCTTTGCTCTGAGGATGCCATAAAAGCTTCATTGTTTATATGAGGCTTTAAAATATGCCTCATACAGTGGTTTAGTTTTTACACAACTAGTGTTATGCATTTTTGGGGACAAAAGCTGGGAAAAGAGTTTCACATGTGAGATAAGTGGGTGTTTTTTGGTTTGCGGGTATTATTGTTTGATTTGTTAATTGTTTTTTCCCCTGCAGCAGTCTCATATCTTACACAGAATTTGCTTTGATAACTTGCTGCTCTTCAGGTAGAGATATATTAAAAATGTGTAAGAAATATTGCACAAGTTAGTGAAGTTTTCACCTGCAAATACATTAGGTAATTGAAGGAATTGTATACATGTAAAACTGTGGTTGCTAACACACTGATGTAATTTTAGAGTTGGGAACCTGTTTCCTAAGTTGGGGCAGAAAATATATTCATACATATTGTTTTTACTCCATGGAAGCATAATATTTATTAATTTCTTTCCAAAAGCACAATACATTTTTAGTTTGTTAAAATAAATTATTCCCATTGTGCCTGTATTTTTCTTAGGATCCAGCCATGGCCAAGCTCTATTAGGTCCTAAAGGTTTTTAGTCATAAGTCCCAGGATGAAAGCAGGATAGGAGCTTTTTGTACCATTTAGCCACCTCTCCAGCTGTTGTGACCCTGAGCAATTCTGGTACCTGGAGGGGATCCTGCTGTGGTTAAGGCCACCCCGGTGGCTTCCCCAGGGAGTTTTGACTTGTGGGCACTGAAGCAAACATCTGTGGTGGTCTTTAGAAGTTCCTGCTCCCCACTGGCAGCACAGCTGCCCCTTGCTGGGGGCTGCTGCCTCAGTGGTGGGAGCAGTGGGAGCAGCAGCTCGGTTGCTGTGCTGGGTCCCTGTCCAGGGCTGAAGTGCCAAGCAGCAGAGATGTGAGGACGTGCTCATCTCTGCCATATGCTGCCCATCAGAGATGTAGGGTGGGAATTGCACCTGGGCATCTGTATTCAGCTCATTTTTTCCAAAGCTCATCTGTTGGTGGTGGCAGCTTTCCTGGTGTGTGCTGTGTGCTGGAGCAGTGCTCGTTGCTTGGCAGAGTCCTGCAGCTCTGTGCATTCCCCTCCTCTCCAGGGATTTCCTAAGCAGCCAGCTAGCTCTGCTCTGTTTCCAGCAGTTCTGGAGAGGCTCAAGGACTTTAGAGTGTCATGTGGACCATATAGTCCTCAGTGTTTCTGAACACTCATTTTCTTTCATTTGTCTAGTGACTAAATCAGACGCTGGGCAACAGAGAATCGAAGACACTGTGATGTTGATATTCGCCTTGAAGAGAGGTTTGACTATTTTATTTTTTTAAATATTATTGGGTCAAATATGGAAGCCTGTACTGAACTTCTATTCAAGAAGATCAAACTCCATAGGAATTGACTTCAGAACTGAGTAAGATGCCAGAAAATGACAATTGATTTTGGCCACTGCAGACACTTGATTTTTCATGTATCTGCCAGATTTTCTATTGCAAAATGCATTAAGTAAGTAACTGAGGTGCACTTAAATTTACTAAGGCACAGAGCTCTAACCTCTTTCTGAGATGGAGAAACAAGAAAACAGTATCAACCTATACATTGTAAAGATGTGTCTCTCAGGACTGCTGTGCATCAATATAGTGATGTGGAACCTAAAGAAAATATTTTGAGCTTTGGAGGAACCTCAAAATTTGGTTTGTTACTTGCTGACTGTTGTAAGGGTATGTGATGCTTCACAGACAATTAAAGCTAATTCTTCCCATATTTTTTGTAGGAATAGCAAAAGGTAAAGTTAGCCTAAATGTGATTTGTTCTTGCTCAACAATTAACATTAAAAAGATGTAATGATACAAAATACAAAATACATATGTGCATATGAATCTAATAGGAACCAGCAGAATAACAGCAAAAAAGAGAATAGAGCAAAAAAGTTACTCTCTGTCCAAAGAAAACCTCTTGGTGGTGTCCATGTAAAGATATATTTATGTATATATTGCATTGCCACTGAAGATCAAAAGCAATGAAAAATACTGTAATGCAACAAGACCTGCAAGAAATTGTATTAAATAATTGAAAAAGTGCTACTGAAAAATTTAGTTTTGTGTATCAGGCATTACTCAAGGATCACAGAATATACAACTTTGTGGATTGAATATTATGACTGGTTATTTGCCATAAAATTGATAAGCTTTTCATCAAACTCATGAATTAGTCTTAAGGCTGTTAAACTTTTTAAGTGCTCTGACTTTATGCATTGATACAGCTTGCAGCAAAGTGAGATACATCTTTTGGAACACATCAGAAGGTGCAGTACATATCCATATATCATTTAGTGTACACTATTTGGATTTCTGTGATGAAATCTTGCCTTTTTTCAAATCAATTGTATCTTAAAAATGGCTTTCTTGTATCCTTACCCCTTGCTGGAATAAATCCAGCACCTTGGTTTCCCACAGGTGTGACTGTGAGCAGGATGTGAGCTGTGCTTCATGCCAAAAAATAAATAACTGTGCTTCATGCCCTCAAGGCAGAACTGCAGTGCTGTGACGTGCACTGGTGCTAGACAGTGTCACAAGGCTCGAGTGCCAGAAGGAAGCAGATGAGAGCAAAGACTGAGATACACAGTCTATAAGGGCTGTTTCTTATTGAATTTGTCTTCTTCCTTGGCCCACAGTGGCATATTGTTGTCATATTAGTGTCAACAGAAGTATATTGAATATTGTTTTTCTTTTTCCTGAACCACATCTTTTCGCTTTAGAAATGCTTCCTAAATTTTCACCACCCAGCTGCTCTGTTTCAGACACCAAAGCACAGAGAAGATTTCCATTTAGACATGCATCCCATTTTGTATGGGAGAGATTTGTTCATTTTTATACAAAACAATTTACTGCAGTGTTGTTGCTTTCTTTGTTTTGATGCCAAAGTCTTCCCTTTTGATGTCCAGTATTTCCAGAGGAGCATCCACCTTTTCCTGGCTTTCCTTAGTGTATAAAGGGAAGGCAGCACTGCACTGCATTGCAGCTCTTTTTGAGAGGCTTCCAGCTGGCAGGGGCATCACCCCACTGCCCACAGCTCCTGCCTTGCTGGGGCCAGGCTCTGGCTCTGGCACTGGCTTTTGGGGTATGGTAGTAGAGGAAAAAAAAATTCAGTGTAAAGGAATTAGAAAAGAGAAATGGGAGAAGGCAGGAAGCAATCAGTCAATAAGGGTGGTGGAGAAGCATGAGAGAACCTCAGAAGTAAGGAAGTTGAGAGAAAGAGTCCTTGTTTTTTCACTTATTTCCTGCCTTTTTTTTTTTTTTTTTTACCAGTGCTTTTCTCCCCTTTCCTTCCTTCTCCCTTCCATCCCCTCCTGCTCATACCCTGGCCCCGCTTCCCAACCAGCCTGTAATCCAGCAGTCTGTTTATGTCCAAAAATGAGAGTCTTTCTGAATCCAGAAAGGCATGTTCCATCCACCTGGAGAGCAGCAAGCAGAACTTCGCAGGGATGTAATTAGGGAGCAGAGGCAGTGCTTTTTGCAAGAAGGGGGTGTTGCTCAGATTGTGGAACATAAATGTGGGGTAAATAAACATCACATTTGTGTCAGGCCTGTAAATGAAATACCACTTGTGGCTTAGGTAGAAATTCTCAGTCCACAACCTGCTTCTGAAGGGAAGAGGAGGGGCAGACACTGATCTCTTCACTCTGGTGACAGTGACAGAACCTGAGGGAATGGCCTAAAGTGGTGTCACGGCAGGTTTAGGTTGGATATCAGGAAAAGGTTTTTCACCCAGAGGGTGGCTGGGCACTGAACAGGCTCCCCAGGGAAGTGCTCAGAGCACCAGCCCTGACAGAGCTCAAGAAGCATTTGGACAATGCTTTTGGGTGCAGGGTGTGATACCTGGGGTGTCCTGTGCAGAGTGGGAGTTGGACTTCATTATCTTTGTGCATCACTTCCACCTCAGCTGATTCTGTGATTCTGTGATAATGCCAGACATTGCCATTTAAAAGCAGACTCCTTGTTGATTCCCATATGAACGGGTTGCTGTCAGGGACTGCTGAGAGTATCAGGCAGATTTGACTGGCAAATGCAGTACATGGGCTCACAGCGTGCCAAGGGCTCTGACAGACTGCTGTGTATTAATACATTTATTCATTTCCCCATATTCCTAACATCTAGAGCAAGTGACAAAAAACCACTAAGCTGTGGAGAGCTTCTCTAATATTTTTTGATTAGCTGACAGTGTTTGTGAAGCTGCTAATACTTCTTCATCCAGAATAGGACATTTCTCAAATGAAATCACAATAACCCTGAGCTGGATGTGCAGTTTGTGACTGATAGCAGTAGCTCAGTCGCAGTCAGTAAATAATGCTGTCTGGTGCTGTGCTGTGTGGCTGCAGTGCTGTTGCCTGTATTTCTGAAATGTTTATGCTCTGTCAATCAAGAGACAGCAGATGCCATTAAAACCATCTCAGCACTTTCCAGCTCCACAAGAATTGCAGCGTGTCTTCCAAGCACAGCAAAATGTCATGGCTTGCTTCTCTTTTAATTTTGTGCATAGTTGCAGTTAATTTTTTCTGATGAGCCTGTGGTCCTGAGTCTAGCAGAAGAAAAGGTCACTGTGTGTCTCTAGACAAGTTACAAGATTTTACTGACTTTAACTCAGGGCAATGCCCTCCCATCTTACTGGCACAACTCAGGTGGTGCACAGAGTGGTAATTCACTATGGAATGGGCTGATGCCTGTTACAGGTAGGTAAGCAGTCAAGGCAGAGCTCCTTGGGGATGGATATAATTTATATGTAACTGTATCTGCTCTCTGGACAGAGCTCATTTAGGTATATAATATCAGATAAGGTATGACACTTTGCTGAGAAAACACCTGCATCTCGTGTCTTTTTAATGAATATATTGCAGAGAGAAGCCTTTGCTCATGTTTTTATCAGGTCAAGGGCTGTGGCCCAAGTGTTCTTCAATCCACATACCCATCAGTTTTCTCCAAATCACAAATGCCATTGGGAGGAGAGACTTTGCAGATACCCAACAGATCCATGAACTTTAGCCAAGGGTTTGGGATGAGAGCTGGTGTTGGTGGGAGAACATTAAGTGAGGGAGAACCAATGCTGTGTGGTTTCATGTGATCTCATTTGGACTCCCCCAAAAAGCCAGCTGTCTGTTAAGAGTCAGTAATGACCTGCAAGTGGAATTTACTCCTGTAGGAAATTACTGCAGCCTCCTGTAGTAATTTTAAAAAACACATAATAAAATATGAGAGGGAGCAAACTCTGGTGCTGGCAAAGAGGCAGGCACAATATGCTGACAGTACTTTTATAAACCAATTTGCATTATTTCTTGGCTTGTAAGCCATATAAAATATTCTTACTTTGTCATGTGTTGTAAAATCTGCCGCTGTGCATTAATACAAATAGAATAATGGAGCTAAGTCCTGGAATTGCAGCATTAAAGATGGGAAAAAAAAAAATCTTGGCTCGGAGAAATTGCAGAAATACTGTTTAGCTGCCACTGCTGTTTTATGGTTGCAGCTGCATCAGTGGTGAGAGGAGCAAGGAACCATGCACAAGCAGTGGTAAGCAGGGTTCCCTTTCTTCTTTTGCCTGTTTAACACTGACCATACAGGCTCAGGGACCCTTGTAGCCTCGAGGGCTTCCCTTCCTGGGGCCCGGTGTGGAGCCTGTTGTCCCTAGAGAGGAATGTGGTTGTGCAGGAAAATAATGAGGTCTGTATGAAATAGCCTTTGGGGAGGTAAAATTGTATCACTGAATTTGGTGTTGCCACCCTCTTATACCTCTGTGAGACCTGGGAGAGAATGCAGAAATGAGGAAGAAGTTGAAAGGTCAGATATTTAACAGCAGCCATTTGAAGGCTGCTTTGTGTTACGTTAATCGGAGGTAAAACAGAATTCTGTATTTAGCCTTGAACCCATTCCATGAAGTGGAAAAATGTATTGTCTTCCCACAGGCTTTGAGTTACAGCTACAATATGTGCTTTTCTCTGAGCCAGTTTCTAGATGTGATGCTGTCGCTGCCTTTGGGGCTGACTGGACTTTGGCTCTTTCTGAAGCGTTGCATGTGCCATAAATCATCCTTGCAGCTTCTACACCATTTCCTAGAAACCTGGAAACTATAAGCCTGAAAGAGTTCAAAGTAGTTTCTCTGGCTCAATATTATTTTTTGACAGCCTCAAATGACATGCATTTCATGGAAAGAGATTTTCCTTGCTCCTGAATTTTGTACTTTAGGACTTTAGGTATTTTTTAAAATAAAGTATTTGAAGAGCGGCTTAGATGCAAAGACATAATTTTATTCCAGGCAGTGTAACCTCAAGTACACAACTAAGTATTCATTTCTTCAGTTTACACAGTTGCAATCTTACATATCTGGATTGTGTATCTTTGGTGAAAAAAGTGCTGAATAAATAACTCCAGGTGCCAAAAAGCTGGTTGAATGCCCATTGAGCGAATTCCTTATGAACCAGAATGATCCTGGTGTCAGACAGCATGGCTTATAAGTGTCTTCTGTGGAAAGCAAAACACTTCTTATTTCTCTAAATATTTTGGGGAGGATGGAGTAACAGTCTTGCTGTTCTGTGGTGATGGAGAGCATTGAATGAAGGCACAATGAACTTAAGGTGGTTAAAGGGGAACATGGCTTTTTGTAAACACCTCACTTCCCTTCGGACAGTAATTTTCATGATGTTCCAGGGTTTTTTTTAAAGGCAAAAACACAGCTACCAAAACCACTGCACTGGTTTTCCTTGCTGGGTATTTTAAAGATTAAATTAGCTCCAGTTAAAGGTATAGAAAGAGAGCTGGCTGGTGGGTAGGAGGGGGGGTGGGGGGTATGTGTGTGTGGAGTTTTTACAATTTATTTTTATATTCTGTGCTTTTGCCTTTGGAATCACACACTTTTGCACTGTTTTTTTTTTTTTAATTGACTGAAGAATCAAAATAAATAATAGACAGTCTTTATCTGTAGATTTATTTTAGGCCACTGAATGTGAAGGAAAAGTTAGATTTCAGTATTTCAGTTTTGACAGTGA